CCTCCCCCTCACTCTCTTTCAAATCCATGCCTGTACACCCACACGTGTCCAGATTTGAGACAGCTTCCTTGCTAATGTAGCAAGATTTCAGTTTCAAAATAATTAAAAAGGTAAAATAAAAGATCTGATCATCTCAGTATTTACAGTGCAGTGGGCCCATTTCGAACTAAGCAGTTCATGAGTGTGCATTCTTTTTTTCCCCCTTTTTTTTTTTTTGAGTGTGTGGAGCTGACCAGCCCCAGGTAATTCAGGTTTTTTTTAATAAAATAACTCAGATCATTTGATTACGCACACAAAGAGAGAGGGGGGGGGGCGTGTCCTACTAGCGGGGGTTTAGTGTATGTTTCGTGTATTTTCCAAAGTGGTCACACTAGAGCCGTTAGATTTTTAGATCGGATGGCAAGGAGCCATGTATATTCAAAACTAGGACAAAACCTCGTGGCCCCAGGAGTCCTCGACAAACAACCCGGAAGAACTCTTAAAAACAATACTGGGGTGAGGTCCCACTAGCAAAGAGGGTTGGATAAATATCCTGAATCTGGACGTGTTTTAAGCAGAGATGCGGAAAAGGAGTTCAATCTCGACATTCTGCACCTGTCCACAAACAAGTCCAGATTCAGGTGTTCAATCCAATCCTCTTTGCTAGTGGGACCTCGCCCCAGGTACCTATACCCAGCTTAGGTGTGGGCGTCGTTGTATAATCCAGAGGTAGATATGGGCTTATAAGTCATAAAAATATTTGCATTAAAAATCGAATTATCCTTCGGCCTAGCTTTCAAGTTTCCAGTGGTGATCTTACTTCTATTCAACAGAATTGCAAGTCAACCATCAAACAAAATATAAGATATAATCGAATTAAAAATAAAAATAAAAAAAAACATCTCATTTAGAAGCTAGGCTACCAGTCGGGTTCCCGGATGGCCCGGCCGTGCAAGGACCAGGGAAGGTCCTAGCAAAAAAATATAAAAAAAAAAAAAAATCCGGAAAAAAAACTATGTTATCATTGTTATGCAGAAAAATCAACGGACCAACTTTTGCCTCAGGGTCACATCGAAATGCTTTACCATATTTAAAATAAATAATAAAGTAAATATATATACAGGGTCATCAGCCCGTACGTACTGAGGTCGCCGGGCAGACCTCCGTACGTACGGGTGTTCAGGGTCCCGTACGGGGTCCGAACCCGACGGCGTTCGGGCCCCGCCAAAAATTATTTCGGGGCTTAAAAATATATATATTTTTTCTGAATGTTTTTTTGTGAGTTCTCTATGACGTGAGGTACATGCCTATAAGTTTTCATGTTATTTGGATCAGCCAAATAAGACTTAAAAATCGCCAAAGATGGCGGTGTCAAAACGTGCTCGCCCACGTTTTGTTTCACTTTTTACTTTTTGTTCTCACTTTAGTTCGGGGTCTAAACAATTTTATTATTTTTAGAAACTTTTTTAGTGTTTTTTTTTTTTTTT